AGGCCTAAACTGTAGTATTAGTTTAAAGGTTTTTTTTTTTCCTCACTGGCTGCATCTGCAGTGGAACTCAATCTCTAATATTAAAGGGATCGCTTTTCTAATGGGATTCATGCTTCTCCATCTGTGCCTAAAAAGCCAATAATATTTGGGAGCTGTTATTTTATAGCTGAAACAGTGTTCGCCCTCTATTTTTAAATGCACGTTGGGACTTTTTATTAGCATTTCACAACTTGGCTTACTTGCAGAACAAAACTGAAAGTTGAAGTTAATGCTCACACAAAACTGATTTCGAGGGAAATTACTGTAATATATAAACCGCGGCTAACGTTGAAGCCCTAAAATAGACAGCTAAGGTGAGCTGGATGGTGCTGCAGTTGCAGAGAGTATTTTGTGTTCAAGTACCCCTTTAGATCCCTCCTTTGAAAGCTGAATATCTAAAACTCCTTCAGCCTTTAAACCATTGGGGGAGGGCACAAGGATGCCCCACGTCTCTACAGGAAGGGTAGACGGATGTGGCATGTCACTATATGAAAGTTATTGCAGTACATCAATAACGTGTTGTAACCCAAAAATGTAACAAAGAGTGCCTTCAACATACCTTGATAAAATACTCTTTTTAATTGTAGCTTCAGGAGCTATAGACCATGCGCTTCCCAAAGCACAAACAATGATAGACTGTATTTCTTAGGCTCTTTTTTTTTCTTGTGCCACTAAGAGTGTGCTTTTTATGATATTTAACAGTCTATCTCCTGAGTAAATTGCAACATAATAACTACTAGGAGTGCTTTGCTTGCATTGTAATTGTATAAAAGAAGAGGAAATTCTGCATAGGGTGTTCACATTACTGATTTTTACTCCTTGTTATTACAGTATTTGTTATGGGTAGTTACATGGAGCTCAGCATAAGTCAGCAGCTGTGGAGGGTTTTGTAGAAAAATAAGAGACGAAAATACATTTTAAATTCTTACTAACTGCATTTCACTTTCTTTTCCTCCTTTCAGTTATGTCAATAGTTCAGCTTTCAGGGATGTTCATTTAAGAAACTTCAGTATTTGTAGCAAACCATCAATGCTCTAAGTTTACCCATTTTCTTCTTGTTCTCATGAAAGAGCTGCCCCATTTTCATTCAAAACTTCTTACTGGAGAGAGATTATCTTTGAGAATACAATTTTAAAAGAAAAACTTGTCTTCGTGTTCTTGCCATCTATCAGTTTCCAAATTGTATTTTCCACCACGCTTCAATTTTCGTACTTTTATAATGACAGCCATTTTCCACTCAACGTTGAAATATTTCTGTTAGAAAGAACAATAAATACATACCATTTCTTTAGATGTTTCCCAATATCCTCACTTTTATGGAGGTATGTAGACCCAGTTAGTGCTTAAAGAAGTTTGCATCTGTTTAAGCTCAAACATATTTGCTTATATTCTGAATTTTTAAAAACACAGACGGAAAGTGCATCAAGTGACCTTATTACATAAGCATGGACGGCATCAGGGACCTGAGTGTCTCATTTGTCGATTAATCAGTCTCCCCATTTTTCTTAATTTCTGTTATACCCAAAATTTGGGTAACTTCTCTCTTGCCTCAAATTGGCAAAAGGCTTTCTGCAAAGAATCAAACAAAGCTGAGCTAACGGGCTGGAGAAAAGGAGAAAATTGTCATCTCTGCAGGCATGGGAGGATGGTCTTCTACAGCATCTAGGGCCGCATTATACGTTCCCTGCATCATCTTCTCTCTCCAAGAAGATAAATACAAACTGGGGATCTTGTCCAGTTTTCACTGTCATCTTCAGTGGTGGTTACACACGGAGATGTCATATGGTTTTAAAGAAGTCTGGGATTTACTGAAGTGTCCTGTCTCCCCTTTTAGTCGTTCAACTGAGACAAGTTGTAAAAATTAAGATGCTGAGTATTTTAGAAGTGTGGACAGCATTACAGCAGCAGCTTTTTGTCTAAGTACTCCCCTAGAAAATTACTGAGGTTTCATGTGCTGGAGTTGGATGCTTCTGGAAGAGTTTGGGTCCTGCATGATGAATTCATCGAGAAAAAGAATTGCAAGTGATTTTGTAATGCTGGAATTGCTGCCATTGGTGCTTCGGCCGATCCATACTTGCCTCAGTAGTCCTAGTTACCCGGATTTTCTCAGCAGGAGGCATAAATAGTAATAGGCAAACTGAGCTTTGGAAGCCGAGGGTATATAAAAATGGTTTTAAAATAGCAGAAGTGCTACTGAAACAGTTTCAATGTTATACTCACTGTCAGTGGGGATTTCCTATAAATAAGGACCCTTATTTCTAGAACTATCAATGCTGTGGTGGTGTGGCAAAGCAGATCACATTGGCAGATGCTTTTGGAAAATGTTTTGCATTTGAGTAAAGTGGTGTGTGAAGTTTGAATATTCCAGGTCAAATTATAATTTCATGTATTGTGAATATATCTGACCACGTTGAAGTCTGCAATACTTTACTGTTGTAAGTTGTATTTTTTCACTCTTCCTAAATAGCCAGGGGGGCAGTGTAGCAAAAGGGAAAATCCTGGATTTAGGTTTTGAGGGTGAATACAAGTGAGCTTTGACGCAGTTTTGCTGCTTTTAAAAACTGTGCGACCTCTTCTCTGTCCTAATGAAAGAAAATGGCAGCGTTTCGGGCTTGGAGTTACAGGAGTGCCGTGCTTCTGGGAAATGGGCTTGGAGGCTTTGGGTTTAAACACCTGGTATTTTCAGTTTTACAGGCCTGGAATAGTAATTTCAAGTTTTATTTTTCCTCTGTTAATTATTAGGAATGTCTCATAATCCACGGGTACATGTTGTTTAAAACAGGTGCAGTCACTTTAGTATTAATGATCAGTGAGTCTAATATGTGTTACTACTTGAATTGCTTGCTTTGTGCAAAGAGGCTTATTTTCAAGAAATGTATGTAATGATATTTAATAACTTGCTTTGCCAAAGAGTAGGACGTTCCTCCTTTCACCTGAAAGTATTTCTTATATGTATTTATTTTAATGATTGATTGCTTGAAATTATTTATAGCACAGTGCATGAATATGGTGAGCCAGAAGCTTTGGTGTCAAGTGATTTACTATATTATCTTCATGGAAGTAATATAATTTACTTAGTGCAATAGGGATTGGTAATATATTCAGTATGGGATAGTACGCATCACAGCACCTGATTTCTGTTGGCTCTAACATAAAGCGGTATGACTCAGTCAATAAAATAAAGATGTCCTGTAGTACAGTGAGCAACTGAAAGCTTTAGCGCTGGAACTCTTGTTTCATTCTTAATGGAAGAATCAGAATTAAATTCCCTTCAGGCCAGTAGTTATACTGGGGAGACTTGGCCTAGCAGACAAGCATTACATGTAAAAATTTACCTGAATATTACCTTCATTAAGAAACAATGAATTTCATCATTTATTCCACCTAATGCCACATTTGCACATTATTAAATGAGATAATAAGGTTAATCTTTGAAAGCTTAATTTTGTTGGATAATTTTTTATTGGGTAATTGTTCATGTTGTGTTTTTTTTTAGTGGAATCTCAGATTGACTACAAAACCACCTAGAAAAGCCTTCAGACTCATTTTGCATGGTTAAATGGTTGCAAGCATAGGAAGGTCCATAGTGTTGTCAAAGACCCTTCAACATCGGTGTTTTTCCTGGGGCAGAGATTGATGGAAAGCATCCTAAGCAGTGCTGAGGAAAGAACTGACATGGGGAGAGCCTTGATCCCACTTCATATGAAGATGAACTCTAAGAAACATCTCATAATAATGCTCGTTGTGTTTCTGCATTTAATTGAAAGACGGACATGTAATTACTGAAGACCGATATCGATGGTCCTGAATTGTTGTCATGTTCTAGCCTGCCACAGTTGCACTGTGTCATTTTGGGCAAGACACTTAAATCCCCATTTTCCATCTACAATGGTGATATTATTAAAAATGGGTAATAATACAAAGTATTAAAACAATGATTGCTGCATTTTCACTGGTCCATATAGAAGCCGTGTTGCCCTTCAGCATTACGTGGTTGGAAAATCATGGGGAATGAGCCTACTTCTGGCAAATCATCTTGACACAGTGGCTACGTTGAATTCAGATGTTCAGTTTGGGGAAAAAAATGGTTCTTGATGTTGTTTTAAGAGATTGTATACGTGTTTCTACGTTAATATAGGTTTGTGGGATCAGAGGGAAGCTCCGTCGTTATCAGCATCTTTTGTAAACTGGTAACACTCAACCTTCAAAGATGCCCGTCCCCACTATTCTTGTTTGAAAGTTATTCCAAAATCTTGCTCCTGTAAGGACAGCATTTCGTCATGGCCCATGCCGTCATATTTCGTTCTATTGCTTAGCTTAAATACTCCTAGGTGGTTTTTTCCCACATTTCAGTGTTTAGATATTTCATGTTATACAGCAATTTTTTTTTGACGTCTTTGAGTCTCCATAGGCCAGACAAGTTTCCTGCAAGGTAGGCTGCCTGTTCCCTGTCATCCTCCTAGCCCTTCTCTGTACCCCTCTGTTTTCCAGGAAGAGGAATTCAAACTGAATTCAGTATTTCAGTCTCGCTCTTACCGTACCGAGCAGTGCTCCCCTGGCTTGAAAGGGCTTGTTTGATATTCTCTTCTGTTTTAAACAGGCCGGTAGATATCCAGATTGCTTTCTTATTCTTTCTTATTCTTTTCTTATAACGTTTTTTATCAGCTGTGTCACCATCAATATCAAAGCTGTTGCTGCAGGTGCTGCTTGTTGGAAAAAGACTTCATTTCATGAGCATGTCCCCACATGAAGGCCAAGACCTCACAGCAGTTGAATCTTTTGTTTTACTCAACAGCGGGCTGTACAACACACTCGGTCATGCTCCCTAGAGCCACGAAACAAAGGAACCCTGTTGATGTTTACTTTGGCTCAAGGCACAGACTTATTTTAAATGAGTTAATAAATGGAATAGTGAACTATGATGGGTTGTATAATCTTCTTTTCTCTTTTTTTCTCTCTAGGTCACTCAGATGAGTCGTCCAGATTTGATTCTTTTTCTCATGAAATATCTCATGGCTTTGGTTGTTGGGATACCCTCTGTCTTCTGGGTCGGAAGCAAAAAGACCTGTTTTGAGTGGGCTAGCTTCTTCCACGGACGCAGGAAAAAAGAGTGCGTGTTGATATCTAAGAGATAAACTGGTTGAGTACTTGCAAATAATCTCCTCTTGCATTGTAGTCCTGGGAGAGTATTTTGGTTAGTTTTTCGTGGAGGCAAAGACAGGAACAGATAGGGCAGTTTTCTCGGAAATCTCTCGCTATCCAAAATAGAGCAAGGAAGGACAAGACAAGGAACAGTTCAAAAAAACTCTGAAAAACTGTCGCTTATTTTTCCATAATTATCCTTTGGTCCCAGAATCAAATCTACATTGCTCCACCTGTTTTCAAAATATTTTTAACACGAATTAGCATTCAGTTGAATACAACAACTTCTCTGCCATTTACTGAGAGGTGGGATGAAAAGGTTTTATTTATAAACGTGCTTATCTAGTCAACTGAATCAGACCTTTAAACTGAAATTAAATGTTAGTTCTTTTCACCATGACTGCAGTTAAAAGCAATTATCTCTGTTTTAAATCATCCCTTATGCATTAGTGCCAAAGCACAGTTTGATAAAATGACAATAAGAATGTCTTATAGCTTCTGGAAGTTGAAATTAATTTAGACTAAGATACGGCACAAATTTAGGGACAATCTATATGACTTTGTAATAGCTATGAATAGCTATTTTCATAATCATAAATATTTTTTAAGTAGACGTTTCAAAATAGATCCACAAATACAGCCAGCCTCTAAGTGACTACTCCGTGACTTTGACTTGTCCATCCTTAGCAGCACTGGCCTGGTGCTGAGCTTACAGTAAAATTACCTTCTGTAAAGTGGGAGTACATTTGTCTTTATTGGAAAGATGACCTACTAAGATACGCACAGGGTTAACAACAACTTAATATGATTTTAATACATGCACATACATTCAGGTAGGATTTACAGAGAGGTGACGTACTAGTTTGGTGGGTGGAGGACAGGAACAGAGTCAGCGAAGGCAGAGGAAGCTGTTTTACAGGACTGGCTATCTCGGGGAGAGCTGGGTGCCTCCGGGAAGTGCCGTCCCCTCTCCTGGTGCAAGCAGGCAGCAGAGGAGCTCCCACGCACGGCAGCATCTGGCGGGAGCCAGATTCCTTTTTTTTTTCGTTGAGCGGTAAGAAGCAGAGCTGATAAAACCCTCCCTCCTTAGGCAGCCTGTGATCCTCTGTGAGCAGGAGAATTAAGAGGCGGAGCTAGCCAGGAGGGGGAAATGGAACATGAAAGAATAGGATAGAGAATGGGAGGGGAGGGGAAGACCTCCCACAAAAAAGAGATTTAAAAAAAAAAAAGAATGTAGAGGTTGTGATCGCACCTCCTTTTATCGTGCTATGGTAGAGCGGCCAAGTGTGTGCCCCTCTGCCAGCCCTTCCCAGCAAGGGATTTCAGCAAAGAGAGAAGCTGTGAGACTGTCACCGCTGATCTAAGGGCTACAGGCCGGTTGCTTGTGCATCACTGTAGCTGTTGTATTGCGTCTGGTGTTCTCCTCCTGCTGCCTGTTTTAATCCAGATTTAACTGCTCATTTGAGTGAGGAAGCGGCTTCCCGTGTTCCCTGAGAGGCAGTTCCCTGGGTCATCTCAGCTTGCTGGGTCACAGCGCTATCCCAAGGATTTCTCTCCTAACAACATTCGCAAACTAAGGCCATAACAAATACACTGCAGTTATGCCACGTGTCCAGGCTAGGGGGTCAGGTACAGGGAGTGGGAAGGATTCAAGAATATGAACTTTGCTAAAATATCCAAATGTCAAGGTGCGTCAAAATTTGGCAAATGGGGACGTTGTAATGTAAATAAACGGTCTTATTTGCCAAGCTGTAATATTTGTCCGCTCTGTTTGTAAAATAGTTACAGTGCTGTTAGTGCCGTCGCTTTTATATTGCAGTCATTAACGGTAACGACTCCAATTGCATGTCTTGTTCAGAGTTGTCAACGAGAGTCGTCAAGTGCTGCAAGAGCCAGACTTTGCTCAGTCTCTTCTGAGAGATCCCAATACCCCCATCATCCGAAAGTCGAGAGGCACCTCTACCCAGGGCACCTCGACTCACGCCTCCTCTACCCAGCTGGCGATGATGGACGACCAAAGGAGCAAGGCGGGCAGCGTCCACAGCAAAGTCAGCAGCTACCACGGCAGCCTGCACCGATCGCGTGACGGCCGGTACGACTCTTCTCTTTAAACTCTTGTAGAAAATTGGACAAGCCTCTGCTAGCCAGATGTTTGGCCGTTGCATTGCTAAAACTGGAAGTTCTGCTAATATTTACTTTCTCTGATCGCATCTCCTCTCCCTGAAGAGGAAAGAGAAAAAAATAGCATGGTATTTTCAAAGTCTACACTAGTCTTCATGAGTTACACGGCGTGAACGTGTTCAGTGCTGGTTTTCCCGCAAAGGCGGTGAGCTGTGTTACATCATCTGAGTGCATGGGCAAACAGATCTGTCCCAAAGTCAGCTTAGTATTTTTGTGGCTGCTTTTGTCCGTGTGTAAATTGATTTTGTTTCTGTAAATAGTCCTGGCCCTGCTGAAGTAAACAATGATAAAAGTTACCCACGCTAACGTGAGGTGCAGTTAAGGTTTACAGCATAACTTATCATCGAGTATTTTACTCACCTAATTACCAATACTGTACGTAGCGCTGTAGTACGAACCAAGCTGCATAAGGAGTTGAAACAATTTGCCTGGGGCTGTATAAGCTAAATGGCTGAGCTAAACAGAGAACGACTTTTTTTCACAAAAGCAGAGGGTTTGTGTGCGTGTGCATGCACATGCACCGAGATTTATTTACATTCCTTCATGACTGCGGCGGTAACAATAGTAATAATTGTCCTCCATTTTTATAAATTAGGTACACTCCCTGCAGCTACAGAGGCGTAGAAGAAAGACTACCTCACGGCAGCATGTCACGACTGACTGATCATTCCAGGCACAGCAGTTCTCATCGGCTTAACGAACAGTCACGTCACAGCAGCATCAGGGATCTCAGCAGCAACCCAATGACACACATCACGCACGGGACCAGCATGAACCGCGTTATCGAAGAGGATGGCACCAGCGCTTGAGCCGCTTTTATCGGAAAGGAGTAGACGACGCGGTTGCACGGCTCGCGGTCCCTTCCTCAGTGATGTGATAACGCTCAGTATTAACCATGCCTCTCATCGGGTGCTGATTTTGTGCATCAGGAAGCCGAAACTGGCTTCTTCGTGTTGAAGCCGGCGTTCTTGTACTCGCATCAGAGCTAGAGTGTTCAGCAATCTTGAATTACTGAGTAAAAAGCTGGTTGCCTCATTTGACCCTATCTGTAGGTAATTATTTATTCGATAACTGTTACTCATCAGACGCCATTGCTGAATTTCTTATTCTTTGTGGAAAAATAACCTCCCCCTCCCTCCGATGGCTCTGCATGTCAGTAGGTGTTACCCTTGAAAACTCGCTGGCAGGGTCACGCTGAGATTTTTTCTCCTAAGGCATAAGGGAGCTCTTGAATATGGAAGGAAATCCTCCGCGCACCTCTCTGATTAGATCGCAAACTGATGCTTGTTTTCATCAAGCCCAGGGGGAGGGTGTGCATATTAAATGCTGTCTAAAGGACATCTGTGCGAACGGGCAGGCATTTTGAATGGTTACACTGGAAATGCAACACAGGAATGAGTGTTTTGGAGACGGAAAGGAAAACTCCGCTGAGGATCAGCAGCTCTTACCCGAGCTGTTCAGGCTCAGTTGTTGGGACGGGGTGGGAGGGTGGGGGGAAGAGAGAGGCAGGGAAGAGTGATTTTTTTATAACTTGTATTGTCCTTGCTTTTTTACAAAAGACTATTTAAATTTTCTACTTGTTTACAATTTATGTAGGAAGAGATCAATTTTAAAACCAGTTCTCTAGATAATATGCAGCCACTTATTTTTTAGATTAACAAAAGCTGAGATCGCCTGTTCCTCATCATCTATTTAAAAAAATATATGTAATAGAAAACCTGAATTTGTCGCCCAAACTGGGATGTACAGCCTCTTCCTTACAAACAGAACAAAGCCAGTTTACAAACCCCATAACCTGGGTGAGGAAGGCTGAGGCCAAAAGGGACAGGAGGAGTTTAATCAGGGATGGCCCACCTTCCTTGGGGTGTCGCGGCTATTTTGGGGGAAGGATTCTCTTTGTGCTGAGCAAGCAGGGAGCAAGAATTTAGGTGTAAGAATTAGCAAGAATTTAGGAGTACGAATTTGGGTGGGAGAAATTGAGGCAGGAGCTGCCCGCAGGTGGGGAAAGAGCGGGGTACAGCAGCCGGAAACCCGCTGCCTTGCTGTCTTGTGGAGGAGGAGACGGGTATCCGCCGTAAATTGTTGGCTCCTTCCCAGCCAGGGAGCTCGCGTTGCTGGTCGACCTCTACTGTAGGTTATTTTCATTCCTTACTACAGATTCGCGGTAGAGAATTCTCAGTTTGGGCTTTTTTGTGTGTAAATAATCTGTTGGGGTACAGCAAGTCGTTGTTGGCACTGCAGGCAAAAGCCAAGGCACGTCTTGGATGGTGCAGTAGATCTTCTGAAGCATCTACTCTAAGATTCATTCAGCATAAGGAAACACTGATTGCATTTAAACCTACCTCAGTAATTACTACAGATCATTGCTGGGAAATGAATAGTTATTTTTTCATTGTCCTTACATAATTCCCTTTTTGACCCGTTTGAGGCGTGTTGAAAAGCCTTCGTACACGCTCAGGTGGCAGAACCTCAAGGGCAGGAACAGGGCAACGACTCGCGGTCCGTACTTCAGAGGCTTCCGCCGACAGCAGAAACGGCGCGGCGCTACAATTACTCATTTTAATTGTAGCTGATGACACAACAGCAAAGCACGTAACCGTGCGCTCTTTGAAATCAAAGGTTGCCCTGGGAATCACCGTGTCTTAGAAATGTATTTACCCGAACTTGTCTTTCTTGCTTCCACCAGGCTTTTGCTCCAAAGGAGAAGCGCAAACCAAACCCAAGGTGGAATAACAAAGCTTAGCAACAACTCCGCGCTCTCTCTGTTGTAAATCCGGGGAGGGGAGGGAGGTTGCTGCCGCGACCGCCCCAGGGCAGAGCAGATTCTCTGCCTCGCCCCTTGCTCAGCAAACAGCCGCGGGGGACGTCGGCAGGGATAACTGTCCAGATACGCTACATCACCTCTTTCAAAGCAGATGGGTATGAAAAATCTTTCGAATGAGTAAAACTGGCGAAACTACAACTCCCTGTAAGCTGCAAAGGTGGAACCCATTTTTATTTTCAAATTCAGCTTCTACTAAATAACTTGCTGCTTCAAAGGGGTGGTAGTTTTAGGAATCTGGATCTGCAAAAGGAGATGGGTAGCTGAGTTTTCCTAAACACTGTAACTGAACTAAATAAGCTGGAGTGTTTATGTTGATCTTCTTGGCTCAATTTCCAGTACTTTTGGGGTTTTTTTTAGATTGTAGCAATGCTTTGACTTGTTTAGAGTCAGGGAGGGGAACGATGATGGAGGTTTGAAATATATCCTGCTCGCAATTTTGTTAATTTGTGAGGTTCAGTCCCCGTGTTGTCTCCAGAAGGGAACAGCTGGGCTGCTCCTTGCTCACGTATCCTGTATGTGAGGGACAGGCTCCTGTCACCCCAGAGAGCCGATTGAAGTGTGACACTCGAGTTCTGGCCGGGTTTTTTGCCCTCTCCAGCCCTGTAATCCTCAACTCTCCCTTTTATCTTCAACACCTGAATTGGCATGCCGCTCGCTCTCTCGGCAAAGCATTCCTTCCCGGGATCTCAGAGCCCTGCGCCAAGGACTGGTTCAGGTTTCACGTGTAAGATCACCCCGGCCCTGAGGCAGTTCCCCAGCCGGGGCACTCACGGGGCTTCAGCTCCCAAATCATCGCACCTGGGGGCTCGGAAGCATCTCCACGTTTGAATGCAGCCTGACCACCGGCGCCGGCAGGGGTACCTAGGCATGGTTTCGGGGTGCTTTCCTATCAGGCACCCCCTGCTAACTGGTGAGAGCTCCAGCCCAGGCGCCTGGTTTCTGGGACCGGTGCCGATCTTTAAATTCCCCCCGGCACTTAAACCCCGGCCCAGGACGGCAGTGCTGCACTTACTGAAACGCTCCGGTTGCTCTGGGCCCCAGCCGACCTAAGGTACCGGCAGCTGATCACACGTTCCTCGTGATTTGACGGCAGCGCTTTGTCCCTCTCCAGCAGGCGCCTGCTGCTAAAAGCCTGACCCTCTCTTCTTTGCGGCAGGCAGAGCAGTTGTACGTAGCCCCGTTTCCCAGTGCGTCCCAAGGGCAGGTTAATGTATCTCCGTCCTACGCATACGATGACTGAAGCCCCTAAATACTGTTTCGCAGGATCATGGTATCAAAGCTTCCCATAAAACCCACGGCTTCTTATTCCCGGTATTCCCAGGGAACTGAATCTCCCATTTTATCCTGTTGCGAACGCATCGCTCCCTTGGCAGGGAGCAAGGTGGCCCAGTGTGCTTTGCTCCCAGACCTTTGCTGTCCTGTCCAGGCAAAGCCGGAGGTGGCGGGGGGCCGGCGAGCGCTCGGCTGCGTCTGGTGAATGCAGACGTTGTCCTGATGGCCACTGACCACAGATTGCCCCCAGTCTGTGATGTTCCTTCTTTCTTAATCCTTTCATACCTCTGATTGTTCGTTGAAATACCGCGAATCAGAGATGCGGTCACGTTGCGTGGAAGAGGCCGTCTCAGGACCACGCGCAGCCACCCTCCTGTTGGATCGGTAGCGCTCATCTTTTTAAAGCGTAAAAAAATCCAACAACGGCACAAAGCCAGATTTAGTTGTAAATTTATTTGTCCGCTCTCAAGCGCTGTCCCTTTTCTCAGTGCTTCGAGCCACGTTTAGCTACGGAAGCTTTGTATATGAGCTGTACCTGGGGTCAGTGGTGAGCACAGGGCTGCTCGGCGCCGCTCTGGCCAAAATCCGGCCGCAGCCAAATTGAACAGCGCAGCCAAGTCGTTCCAGCAAGGAGGGGAGGGAAAATCCCTCGGGAAGCACCCGGGGAGACCACAAGAAGAGCCGGGTGGGTTGGGGCCAGCTCTCAGAGCTCTGGGGGCTGAAGACCCCCAAAACCAACAGCGGCAGGGAGCGGGCAGCCCTGGCTGTACCGTGAAACCGGGGTGCAGAGCGGAGCAGCGCCCATGCGGGAGACATCCCGAGGTTTGCCTTGAACAGCAGAATGTCGAATTGAATGTGAAATTTCGCTCCTATTCCAATGTACTTCTTTTATAACCAGATCGGGATTTATTTTCACCTGAGGTGGGATGTTTTCACACGGTTTTGCCTGTCGCGAACGGCTGTCGGGTCCGTGCGCTGGGGAACTTGCCGCGTGTAACGGCGCTGCCGCCTCCTCCTGCGCTTTCCCCCGACACGCTCGTGTTCCCGTTGTAATCTCATCCATTTCTGACTGAGAGAGGAAGAAGTTTTCGTGTTCGTGAGACCTGTACGTAGAGGGTGCACGTGGCTGTTAGCATGGGGTAGTACCTGACCGTAGCTGACTTGACTTGCACTCCGCTCGTGGTAGACTTGTTTACAGTAGTCCAGTGTCGGTTTTGTAACGTTTAATTTTTAGCACTTTACCTGTGAGTGTACAAACTGATTATATTGTAGTAGGTGTACATTTTCATTTTAGACCTTTAAAAGTTTTTAATAAAATGATGGAAAAATCCTAGTCTCTTCGTCAACAGGCTTTCAAACCCTCTCTGATGTGCGTAACTGCACCCCTCCTTTAAAAACCCAGTTCAGAGGCAGCTCAGATTTAAATATTAAATTTTACTCCGGCTAGCGGCACTCTGAATTTGAAGAAA